ACTGACAAGAAAAAGGAGTTTAGGTTTGGTGAAGTAAGTGGTTGGAAAAGTAACAAAGTTTGTTTATATGTCTTCCTTGGCCCAGAATTCTCTACCTTTGTTGACAAGGATGCCTTCTAACCTCATGGTACAGGGAGGGTACCTTTCACATGGAAGATTCATTTCCCACTTTCAGGGGGAGGGTCGGAGGGTCAGAGGGTCCTTCTTGTACTTGCTCTTTCTCAAGATATTTTAATTCAAAATAACCAATAGACAAAAGTGGCATATTCTTGTTCCCTTTATATGTATTCTTCCTTTTTTTTTGGTACATTTTTAATTTTTTCTTTATCATTTTAAATCACCTTGTTGCTCACACTCAACCTGTGGTCCCTGTCCCCTGTTCCCCTTACTCACCTGATCTGTTGGTGCCTACCTACAATGTTCCTTCAGTGCCATGCAAGCTGTAGCCTTTCCCAAAGTACCATTTGCCTTTCCCTCAATCTCATCCTCCTTAGGTACTTACTGCCCCTCATGTCATTTACCTCAGTTAAATGCTATCGCCGTGCCCTTTTCTATCATCTCTATCACGGTTACACATCGTACTTCGTGGTAATTGCCTAATCCTGCGTCTAAAATGAAATCTCTCAGTGGAGGGATTATGTTATCTTGGTTATATGGTATTGTCACTGTTGCCCACAGAGAAGGAATGGGTTCTAAAGAAATATTTGCTGATTGAAATCACACACACACCAGAAGAAAGTTACTTTAATTTCATATTACTCTGTTTTCTGTGTCTCAAATAATATCCACTGGGGAAAAGCCTATCAGTGACCTTTGCTCCTTCATCATGACTTTATATCCTCAATAAGTCAAGCATGAAGTTGTTTCTTTGCTACCTCTTATTTTTACTAAATTCACTGAAAATAAGTATGAGTAATAATATGAAGGGGGGAAAAGAAACCAGAGTAAGAAGATAGGTATCAAATTGGCAACTTTACAAATCTTTTCTTTGATGATTACTTTTGATTGGTGTTTATATCTTCACCTGAAAATTGACTTTGTAAATGCCAGATAGTTATAGTCAGACTGGTTTTTGAAGACAAAAAATGCTAGCTGTTATAATGCTAGGCACATCCAATTTTCCATCAACACAAACAACACGTTGACCTCAGGTATTTTTCATCAGTAGCTGAGATTATTCTCAACAAGTAAATAAACATTTTTTTTTTATTTTTGAGGAAGCTTAGGCACTTTTGAAGAATTGGAAAAACTTGAAAATATTCCATATGCCATTCTTAAATGTATTTTAGTATAGGTTCCCTAAATCCACATGGACTATTGTAGTAGGGCAAAGATGCAAGGATGTAACTGGCTATCATACCAAAGATTGTAAAGGAAAATGATAATATTAAAAACTCCAGGACCTAAAATCTGAGATCTACTTTATTTTTCTTTGGGAGGAGAAATGTAATATTTCTAGGAAATATAATCAAGATCAGAAGTTGAAATTCTTAAGCAAAGATATTAAAGGCATAACATCTTCCAGGAAGGACATAAACTCTTAAACTTGTTTACAACACTATATAGAAAATGAGTAAAATTTGAGTTGAAAAAATGGTGTAAGTGGAGAAACCAATGAGGACTTTGTGGTAGTAAAACTTGTTTCTACTTTATGAGAAAAGCTGTGTTCATTTTTCCGATTAACATATCTCCATATTTTATTTGTCTTATTCATTGGTCACATGAATGCCTATGGATATGTGTAAAATTTGAAATAAATGTGTTAGGAAAAAACTTCTGCTACTAACTGAAAAGTCACCTGTCATGTATTAGGCACTGAAGTCATACTAATGAATGAATTAATGAATGAATTCCTTTATAATAATAATAGATAAAGTTTTTAAGTACTTTACTACATACCAAGCACTGTTCTAATTATAACATAAGTGTAAAGTTAATTTAGTCCTCCATACATCCCTATGAGGTCAGTGTTATTATAATCCATTATATAACCGAGTCACACAGAAGTTAAACAGCTTGATAGTTGCTGGCATTAACAACTAACGTATATGGCCAATAGTTAGATGGCTAAAAGGTGGCACAGTCCAGATACCAACACAGGCATTTATGTTTCCCAGGCACAATCCTACTTTGTTATGCAAAACTGTCTTTAGTTTGTAGACAAAGACCAATAGGGAAAAGTACATACTTTTATAAATAAATAGCTCTAGTTCTTTTTCATGTCTCAGTACAATGAAAAGATCATGCCCACAAACCTTGCAAATGATGGCTCACTAAGAAAAGCTTCTGAGGGAAGAGAGGATGGAGGCTGTGGGCAGTTCTCCACAGGTGGCTGTGAAGGGTTGCCTTTCTTCCTGTTCTCTGACATCACAGCTGACAACTGCTACCTCATTTCACTCTTGAATGTCTCCATTTTCTCAAGATAGTTTCCACATTCTAAAAGGTGGGTTTGGGACTCTATCTAATATCTTTCTTTCTCCAAATTTTGCGGTTCTGAAAATGTATATCTATGTTCTGCTATGCAAGTAAAGTATTGAGAGTAGAAAAAGAGAATAAAAAAGCTCTTTCTTAATGCTTAGTCAATTGACAGTAACCTCCATAATTTTTAGTTTTATTCCTCTAAGTCTTCAGAGTTTCAGTTACTTCCTGCCACAGTGGCGTTCCCGGCCACACCTCATCTCCTACAGTTTGCTAGACCTCTCCTTGGAGACAGAATGAAAATTATGGTAGTGCAGGATCCAGACTTGATTATCAGCAATCCCCATCCCATTCTACTGGCTCTTTAATATCCCCATTCCCTTTAGGGGCATACACACTGTGATCTAGTGCTGCCTAAAGTACCCATGTTCAGCACTCTTGAAGTTACATGCTTGCCTCGAGACCAGAGATTAATGTGGACTTAAAGGGACTCTTCACTTCAACCTGAATGTAGGGCTGATATTTCCAAAGTCTGTATTTGTCAGAGTTTAATCACTAAAATCTATACATATTTCTTCTAGGTTTAGCATCAAATTAAAAGTCAAAATGCCTCCAGCTTTGCTAGTTACTAGCTGCATGTGCTTGAGCAATATGCTTAATTTCCTCTACTTCTTATATATGAAAATATTAACTTGGTACCTACCTTTAAATCTTCATAGTGATGTTGGTTGCATCAAAGGAATTGAGGTATTTTTGAGTGCATGGCAGTTATTATTATTTGTGGTCAAAGCTATGTTCCTTGATTAGACATGAAATCAATATTATTTTATATGGTGAGGTTATGTTGAACCCATATAAAGTGAATGATTCTTATTTTCATTTACCTGATCAATAAAGTTTCAAATCAATTCATTGGTGATGACACAGGAACTTAAAAAAATGTTTGTGCAACTAAATACACAACATAGGTAACATTAGATGTTTTTATAATCAAGATAATCTGAAGTTTTTAATAAGCTATATTACACATGGACTGCTAACAATGCACAATCACTGTCTTATTTCCTTTATAATAGTGCCTTTAGTGTTCCACCGAAACATAGCCAGTGAATGCACAATACTCTAGTTATAATTATGAGGGGCTCTGTATATTACAGCAACTCCACTGTGTCTGCTGTTAGCTAGAAGAATGCTGGGAGCAACAACAGCTACTATCAACAGGGAGCCATATTAATTATTTGAAATGTGCCTCATAAGAGGAATCAGCAGTTTATTACAAGTTGAATATTACTTTAAACGGGAAGGTTACTCTAACTGTTATCGTAGTCTATGTATCATTAACTTTCCTTGTTTAGGAAAAGAGATTAACAACCCTGTAAATTGCTGTAGTAAATGTGTAAAATACAACTTCATATTCCCATCGTAGAAAGAGTGTAGTGGGTCCCCACTTCTACCCCAAACTTCTTTGTATAAAGTAGCTTCAGAAATTAAACTGATTCTGTAATTATGCTTTCGTGTTATAAAATCCAATTTTCTTCCTGGATCATCATTATATAAACTATAGCTCCTTTGAACGTTAGAAAAAAAATTGGGGGGTGTTTAATATAGTCATTTTTTTAATCAGTCTCACATCCTTCAAATTAACTTTAATACTTTAACTCACAAGACAGAAAGTATATTACAGATACTTATCTGAGCTTGCAGAATGCTTTGTAAGCAGGAGAGAATGACTTCATCTACTTGTTTTTTAATTTAATTTTATTATTTTTTTTAAGATTTTATGTATTTATTTTTAGAGAGAGGGGAAGGGAGGGAGAAGAAAGGGAGAGAAGCATCAGTATGTGGTTGCCTCTCACGTGCCCCATACTGGGGACCTGGCCTGGAACCCAGGCACATGCCCTGACTGGGAATCGAACCAGTGACCCTTTGGTTCGCAGGCCAGTGCTCAATCCGCTGAGCCACACCAGCCAGGACTACTTGTTTTTTTATACTGTGGTTATTTATTATTTTATTTTTTCTCATCAAATACTATAAACAAGAATAGAATTCTATTAAAGAATGTAAGTAAATCATAAAAATAAAAATTAATTGGGGTTGTAAAGTTATTAAAATAAATACTACTCAAAGTGTTATCTGACATTGATGCCAGTCTGTACCCTGTTTATTACTGACCTACAATGTATAAGTGAAGAAATTGAAAGTGTTTAGAAAAATGTATAACAGATTGATAGAGTACTTAATGTCTGTTTAATCTAACAATTAAAAATTAGGACTTGTATTTTGTATGTCTTTTTTTGTTTGTTTTTCCATTTCATATTTCTTAAATCAGTCTAATTGTATTTTTAAGTGTCACTCCACAGTAAAATGGTAATTGTACAATAGCAACAATGAAAACTGAATTGTATAAGAAAGGCTGATTTCATTGGTTGATGCTTGGAGGACACAATGTTTCTGTGTCTGGTTAGATTGGTCTGCACTCTATCATGGCTATTAATTCAGTGAGGAGAGAGAGAATGTGATGTCATAGAAAAAATAAAAAGACCTGACTGCTATGTCTCTCATGTTTATGTTTGGGTCCACAGGACAGGCACATCATGGACAGGTATCGTACATCTCTCCACCAGTTCACCTTGACTCTGAGCTAGAAAGACCTCCTGTTCGAGGTGAGTTGTTTTTTTTCCCTTAATTTAAAGAAAATGGAACTTATTTATTCTTTGATTAAGGTAATCAATTAAATTAAAGAAAATTGTAAATATTTTACAATGCAGAATCTCTTTAAAAAGCAGGGGAAAATGGTGTATAAGAAATCTGATGACAGAATGAGCAAGTCTTATTTATAAATTAAAATGTGAAATATTGTTCTGAGAAGTGTTTGTAAAGCAAAGTAAGAATTAGGGATGCATCATGATTCAACTAGTGGAAGCCTGGTTGAAAACCAACCTAGATTTAGAGATCACCAGATCGCCATATTTTTAATTTTAATTTTCTCCTTCTATTATCTTATTTTTTAAGTTTTTTAATTGTTCAAAATCATTTTCCTGCCACCACTTTCCCCTGCCCCACCCACCCCCACCTCCCACCCTCAATCCTTCCCCTCTTTGGCTTTGTTCATGGGTCCTTTATACATGTTCCTTGACTTGACCCTTCGTCTTCTTTCAAGGACCATTTCTGTAGTTTGTTATTATCTTATTTTTTATAAATTAAGATAGCTTAATCTAAATCATTGACATAATTTATTTCCTTACAAATTGATATTTTATATTTTATTATTCTTTTAAGTCATTTTAGTATTAATAACATTTAGTTTTAAAATGCGTAAGTTAAAATTATGCATTTTAAATGGATACCACCTGTTTAAAGAGTTTTTTAGAGAAACTAGTCATACAAAATAAAAGTTAAAATACCATTTATAATTATATAATCTAAGTACAGAATTTGTGTTTCTGCTTTTAAGAAATACTTATTAATGATTTTCAAGCATTTTATAATAAAGTTCATGCGATACAGACATGTCCTTTTATTAATATCAAATATCCTAAGTTTAATTTTTCAGTTTAAAGTAATGCAGTATATTTTCTTATACCTTCAAAAGTATTAATTACATGACAGAATAAAACCATTAGGTTTGATTTTTGTGAGCATGTTTCTTATACCTGCCATTTCTTCTGAAGGGGTCTCTCACCTTTCCTTTCCTACTCATTAAGTTTTTACCAGTGTTTCAAGGCCATTAGCACCTCCTCCCTCAGGCAGCCGATCCCCACACCACGGTCCCTGTCCATGGGCCATGCTTATATATTCTTTGGCTCATCCCTTCACCTTCTTTCATCCAGCCCCATCCCCTTTCCCCCGACTGCTGTCAGTCTGTCCTCTGTTAAGCTTCTGTGTGTCTGAACTAGGGAGGAGCTAAGAGAATGGCTCTGTTCCCCAAGTGCCCCCTGTGCTTGGCTCAGTTTTTACACTTAAGACATTGTATTTTATATTCTATTGTGCATGCTCCGCTTTCTCTTCTGTGAGGGCCTTGAAGGCAGAGAGTGTCATTACTACTATTTCTCCTCCAGCCACTGGCCTGTGCTTGACACATCATAGGCACTCATACAACAATTTCTAAGTGGCTGAAATGAAAGGGGACAACCTCAGTTCTAAAGGGTGCATCATCAGTTTTCAAGGAGAAAAGGGAGTGGGGACAAACAATAAGGGAATCCCAAGAAGAGGGAAGCAGAATGAACCAAAACATAAATATTTGGAAGTTGTGGTATTTTTAAGGAAATATGCTAGGAGCAAAGTAAAATGGGAACAGTTCTAAAGGAAAAGACTGGAAAGATGTATGTAATAGGGCAGCTCATGAAGGATTCTGTATCACATGCCAAGGACTTTGTATTTTATCATGGAAAAATTGATGAAACATTTTTAATTTTTACACACTTTTCCTAAGTTAGTGGGATGTTACATCATAACATTATCAGTTCCTGATCTGAGAAGCATAGCTATGGCGTTGGTGTAGATGATGACAGACCGGCAGAGGCAGGCTGTTTCAGGAGTACTGGTAAACGATGACTGGAAAATTAGGAATGTGTTGGCGGCAATATCAGGGTCTGAGAAATATTTTGAAGAGACCGGGAAAAGGAGGAGAAATGCCTCTAAGGTTTTTTTTATATTGATTAACAGCTTGGCTGCTTATGACATAATCCCTCACCATGAGGAATGCATGCATTTTAAATTGATGCATTGTTTTAGACATGTTAATTCTTAGCAGAATGTTGTTCCTGTGAAGGATGGAAGCCTACTTTTGCAAGTTGGTGACCTTAATATAATTCAGTTTTTCAGACATGATCTCAGTATGATTTGAGAAGAGTACTATAAAGCCTTGGATAGGATGTGTGATAATCCACTAAAAGTTAGCGGCTTTTAACAAGAAACATTTGTTAATAGTTCTCAGAGTTGGTTGAGTCATGTGTGTGCTGACTTGGATGTCTAGTAGTTGGCAGGCTGGTTGGTTTTGCAGGCAGAGGGAACTCACATGTGGTAAGTCAACTGGATGTCATCTAGGGCGATGACCATATGGCCCTCGTTGTCCAGCAGCACAGCAGAAGCACGTTCCCATGGTGATAGGATTTTCAGCAATACATTAGCAAGTCCCAAAGTTCAGATATTTTTCAGGGCTTTGCTTGTGTCAAGTTTGCTTTGTCTCATTGGCCAAAGCAAGTCAGCCAGCCCAAGATATCAGAGAGCAGAAATAGACTCCATTTTACAAATCGAAGGATCTTGAATACAGAAAGACAGGAATTTGGACCATTTCAAACTACCATAATTAGGGAGATAAAGAATAAAATAAATTTAGAGTGAAATAAGACAAAAACTGACTGACAAAGGGAAAGGATTTAGAGCTAATAAACTTAAACTTGGAAGTTCTAGAACTTTCTTTCATTTCCTCCACTAATACACAGAAGATCAGAAATAAGAACTTCACAGTGTCTTTGTGAAGATTCGGGGTAATACAGAGTAAAGTCTGGTATCTGGTAGGCCCTAGATAAAATGTGGCTATTACTATGTGCTTTTGGGTTCATTGCTCTGGCATATGGGAAGAAATTGCGCTTTGAAGCCAAGCAGACCAGCATGACCTTAGAATTAGTGTCTTGATAACTTCTAGTTCTCATATCATTTCCCTACTTACATTGACCCAGAGACCCTCCTAAGCTGCACTGTGATTAATAGTATTACAGTGATAGTCACTAGCTCATGTGCTAGAGTCCTACAGTTAAAAAAATAATAATAGTTAGATCAAGAGGTTTATAATAATCACCAAAATAACATTGCAAAAATAATGTGTTTTTTTCTTAAATCTAATATTTTATTTCTAAAATAATGTTGAAAATGGGATAGATATGGTATAATACCATTACTTTGGAAACATGAATATTCCCCTTCAACTTTCAGCTATCGCCCATCATCTTTACTGACTATTTTTAATTATACTGTAAACTGCTGAAAATTATATGCAGTCAAATTTTACAAATGAACTATATTATATATCTATTTATGTATATCTACATTTATTTATATGTGTGTGTGTATATATATATATGTGTGTGTGTGTGTGTGTGTGTGTGTGTGTGTGTGTATAGTCTAGCCAGAAGGTATCCATCCATGTCATATGAAAAATAGAGGCATTTATTGAAGATATAAGATACAAAAAACATTGTACATAAGACAATGATGCCTCAGTCCCCTTCAAAGTAGTCACCTTGGGACCTCACACAGTTTTCCCCATTGTTATCACCTTTCCCATCATATTTTCCTGAATCTCATTGATAGTCTGAAATCTCTTCCCTTTCAAAGGGGATTTTAGCTTTGGGAAAAAGCAGAAGTCACAGGGTGCAAAACTAGGCTGTAGTGGGGCTGAGTCATGTGGGTGATTTGATGTTTCACCGAAAAACTCTGCATGAGAAGTGATACATGAGCTAGCACATTTTCGTAGTGAAGCTGCTGATCACCAGTTACCCATAACTGTGGCCTTCTGAGTCATCTGAATAGTTTCTGTGGAGGAATGTTCAAGCTTAATGCAAAATTTGATACATATTCATTGCTCTACTCACTCAGTCATTTTGAATGCAATGGTCACACAGTATATGTGCTCACTCAACGGTGTCTACAGCCCCCACCAACTAGTACAGTGAAGTTGTCATTGTTCAGGCGTGCACATTCCAGTCCACTGTCATTGGCTCTCAGGTTATGTCAACGTAGCATGCAAACTGTTCTCATTATATTAACAATGCTGGACTTTTAATGGACAGACCTCTGTCTGTGCGTGTGTGTGTGTGTGTGTGTGTGTAGGTCTATATAGAGAGATCTAGATAAATATAGATATCTATAGATAGATATATCTATATATCTATATATATAGAGAGAGAGAGAGAACCTCTCATGTTTATTATAGGTTTTTATTTGAATTAATACCATAAGATAAATTAGTTTCTTTAAATAATTTGGAATTTTATCTCCAATAATTTTTTGTAAGATTATGTAGCAATATCTTCTGAACTGCCTGAAAACTAACATTAGCTAATCATGTTACCTTTTCTTTTTCTATTTTTTGCTATAATTTTATACATACTATGAGTATAAAAGATACAGCTAGATATTCCTTTTCCCATGTTGACCTATAGCTGTCTATATTTACTTTCTTGTCTACATGTTTGTTAATATTTCAGGAGTTGTTGCCTTATAAATTAATTCTTGTATATTTTATAGTCTTGACCTTTTTTAATAGGAAAAGCACACTCAATTTTTGATACTTATCAAGATAGCCAAAAAAATTGTGTACTAATATAGTTACAAATATCAGCAAACAGAACTTTCTAATAGAAAATATGAACTATCTAACATAAAATCACACATTATATTGCTTCAGATATTTTACCATTTATTTTGTTCTCATCTGAAATATTTTGGATTTCTTAGAATTATTTTTTAATAGTGATTGTACTTCGAGTTTTTGAGACAATGCGCTAATTATTGGTAACTCTGAAATTGTGTTTTAAAACCCTATTTTGAAAAATAATTATATAACTGCTGTTCAAAATATACATAGATATAGACATAACAATTTCATCCCCTCCCACTTTTTTTAACCCCTTCAAGTTCTACATCACATATGAAACATTTT